GCACCATGTCCTGTACTCGTCCTTCAAATCTCCAGTTTCAAAACTAATTGAGTCTTTCAATTTTTTTTTTCTTGCAGAGAACTGAGTTAGTTCAGTTTAACTCCTAATAATTAAAATTTTTCTTTATTTACAAAACAGTGATGTTGATAGAGTGTTTCCTAGCAAAACAAGTACTCTTGGCTTCTAGCTGACTACAGATAATTAAGGAATGTTGTAAAAACAGAAAATACAACCTCTTTTGCCTCAGGTGACTGATTTCTAGAATTTGGATAAACTGACACTTGCAAAGTAGTTGAATAGTTGATACCAAATTTCAGTTACCCTCAATTAGCTACCAGAATACAAGGGGTTTTGGATCTTTAATCATGAGATTTAATACTGGAACATCCAGGAAAGCTATGCTTGAGGTGTACAGTGTACCCAAATCTACAAAATGTTCTGCTTTCTATTTTCCTGTAACAAGATTCAGAACAAGAACTGAGCTTTTTTGCTAGTGCATGTGTAGGTGGATATAAGCACTTGATACTCTTCTCTCCTTGGCTATCTGGTTTAACTCAGAGGTAAAATAACAGTTATCCAGCTTTCCCCAGGTTGTCATTTTAGAAATCTTCAGTTACGTGGAACACACGAGTTTCCTGGTAGCTTATTCCACTCTTTACGTATTTGCATAGACTGATAGAATTAAACATATTTGATATTCAGGCTCTTTGAGCAAGAACCTGTTTTGGAGGTGTAGCAGGTTAATAATAAACAGTGCTACTATTTAACCGTCATTCCGCGTTTCCCAGCCCTGAGTCTTAGAGCCGTTAGCGTCTCCCTCACCAGCAGCCCATTTGCAAAGAGTATGTAGGACAGGGGGTGCCAGTTTTCAGGTACTCAGTCTCAGACTGAGTGTCGGCTCTTCCAGGCCAGTGTTTGTTTCAGGAATAGCTTAAAAGTTGAGCCAGCCTCGAGGTGTCCCTGAGATGCTCATGTCCCATTTGGACGTTAGTGCTTTGTTCAGGGTTTAGTGCTCTTACAATACTTGTTTTCTTTGCTTCTTTTGCTACAACTCCTAGTTCATTATCTTTGGCCTGTCTGTGTCTCACATGAACTTTATTCTTCTTTTAAGTTGGAGGCTATTTCAGATCAGCTCGGTCGCATCTTTTACAGAGTAAAAAGTTTAACAAATCACATCTTAGAATATTTTGCTGTTACGGATTGCTAACTAGACTGTGGTTATGCTTCCTTTCCAAAAATAATACTTGTAAAAACATGATGCATGTTTGCACTTGGCTGTCCTTTGTTTTCTCCCAAGAATAACATAATCACAAACAGAAATTTTAAAGACCTACTCCGTACACACATTTGTAGAATGTGGTGAGTTTATTACTTGATCTCCAAAAGGTACTGATAGATTTGCTATCTTTGCTGAGAAATGAGAATTCTTAGCCTGTTCTTTATGTGAGTATGAGTCCTCACAGAATACACTTTCAAGTGTAATTATATGATGTATAAAGTTCTGTTTTGCAGAATAAGGAAAAATTGGAGAAGCTGAAAAGTCAAGCTGACCAGTTTTGCCAGAGACTTGGGAAGTATCGCATGCCTTTTGCTTGGACCGCAATCCACTTAATGAATATTGTTAGCAGCGCTGGAAGTTTGGAAAGAGATTCGACAGAAGTAGAAATCAGTACTGGAGGTAAGAGTGTTTTATATAAAATGTTTCTAAATTTTTCTTTTTTCTCAGATAGGCTTGTTTTATTTGTAAAATTTGCAATGTGGTATTCCTTTATTACCTTCTTTATTTAACACCATTATTAAGGTATATTAATAATTTGCGTACCTTACCATTCAACCATTTGAAGTATGCAATATGAGAGGTCCTTAAAAAGTCTCTCTCTTTTTAAAATTAATTATTTATTTATTTTTTAAATTGAATGATAACTATGTACATTAATGCACTTCTGGGGTACAGTGTGGGGTTTTCACACACAAAAAAGTCTCTTTGTTAAACGTTTGAGGAAAAAAGGGGCTTTCCTTCTGGGCTGCCGTCCGTAGAGACTTTGCCTGTTCTTCCCGTATTCGCGTGGGTTTTCCTGTCTACTTTGGTTTCCTCTCATATTCCAGAGATGTGCATGTTAGGTTAATCGGTGTGTCTGAACCGTCCCTCTCTGAGTGTGTGTGGATGTGTGTGTGAGTCCCGTCCTCAGGTGGTTCCGGCTTTGCACCCTGAGCTGCTGTGTTAGGTTCTGGTCACCCACAATTCTGAACTGGAATAAGCATCAAGCAGTAGGCTGGAAAATGAATGAATGAATAAATACAGATTACCGTCAAATAAAAATTCATAAGGCGTGTAATCATACAAATGTGTCACAGTAATCTGTGCAGTAGCAAAGTGCTCAGTGAACTGTCGGGTCTTGCTGTTCTGAGCCGTGTAGCAGTCGGAGAGGCTCCTTGCAACTTTTGCTTTGCAAACATTTATTCCTTGATTTAACCCACCTCCGCTGTGACCGCTTTCACTCACTAATTCACCAAAAGTTGGGCAAACAACTCTTACTTATTTTCATTGGTTTTAAATGTATAGTTCATGTTTATTTTGATGTTTAACATTAGAAATGTTTTGATCTTTATATAGAAGTTTGATGGTGTTTTTGTGACCAGACATATGCTGTGGGAACTTAAATCTTGTTTATGTCAGTTGGCACACGGTGCCATCGTACGTCATTTCATTTCACTTAAAGCAGTGGCTCTCCATCTGTGGGTCGCGGCCCACAGGAACTGTACTAAAGGGTCGTGGCATTAGGAGGTTGAAAACCACTGACTTAAAGTCATAATTTCTAAGAACACATCGATGACATTAAATGGGGACTTACTGCACCGTGTTTTTATGCTATAACCACTGCCACAGTCTAATCTGGAAACACTTTTTACCTATTTGTGGTAGTTGCTCCTAAATACCCCCAAATCTCCAAACACATCCCTAAGCAGCTATTGTGGGTTTGCTCATGCTTGATGTACAGGTAGAATCACACAGCATGGGCCTGTGATGGAGCTTCCTTTATTTAGAATCATGATTTCATGGTTCATCCAGGTGGAATCACACAGCCTGGGTCCGTGATGGAGCTTCCTTTTTCATTTAGAGTCAGGATTTCATGGTTCATCCAAGTGGAATCACACAGCCTGGGTCAGTGATGGAGCTTCCTTCATTTAGAGGAGCATTTTCATGGTTTATCCAGGTTGCATAGTATATGTCAGTATTTGACTTTTTTTTGAGACAGAATCTCACTATGTCACCCTCGGTAGAGTGCCATAGCATCACAGCTCACAGCAACCTCAAGCTCTTGGGCTTAAGTGATTCTCTTGCCTCAGCCTCCCAAGTAGCTGGGACTATAGGTGCCACAACACGCAGCTATTTTTTTGTTGCAGTTGTCATTGTGGTTTATCAGGCCCAGCTGGGCTCGAACTTGCCAGCCCCAGTGTATGTGGCCAGCACCGTAACCACTGTGCTATGGGTACCAAACCAGTATCTGACTTACTAATGCCAGTGACAGTCCATTGTATCAATATATCACATTTATCTATTCATCGGTTGTTCTGTGTTTTTCTACATTTTGATTGTTGATGCTGTGGCGGATGTTCATGTACAGACTTTTGTGTGGACGTATTTTTTATTTCTCTTGGATGTGTTCCTAGGAGTAAAATTGCTGGGTCATATGGCAGTTCTATATTTAATCTTTTGAGGAACTGCCACGCTGTTTTCCAGCTCTTCTGGACCTTCAGAAATCCTGCTTAGCAGTCTGTGGATGTCCCCATTTGCACATATCTTTGCCAGCGCTCGTTATCTGTCCTGATAGTAGCTGTCCCTGTGCAGGCCAAGTGGTGTTTCTGTGGTTTAGATTTGCCTCTCCTTGATCGGAAGAATGATAGGAAGCGTCGTGCTGCATACACTGGCTATTTGTGTAACGTCTTTGGAGAAATAGGTGTTCACATCCTTTGATCATTTTTAATCGCTTTTTCGTCTATAATTATTGACGCCTAATTTTTATTTTTTTACATGTACATGTGTTCATTAGGTTTCCACTTTTTGCCTTCACAAAATTAAAAAGGCGAAAAATTGAATAACAATAACAATGTTTAAGGTAAGGACTAGAAACAAAAACCTCATAAAGAACAAACGAAGGTAAATACATTCAGAAAAGGAATCTGACAATTGCTGCATCGAAATATTAAGCAATAATAGTAATAATGCATAGAAAGTAACATTCACGTGACGCCTAATTTTTAAATGGATTTTCATCTTCTCATCACTGGTTCACGAGAGCTCCTTGCAGGCCCTTGATGCAGATTCCTCATCTCGCTTATGATTCACACGTTTCCTCCCAGTCTGTTGTCTGAAGCACAGAAGTTTTACATTTTGATGACTTTCACTTTTTCTGTATTTTTTTGTTGTTGTTGTTGTGTCTAAGAAACCAGTATCTAACCCAACATCAAGACTTACTTATATGTTTTTACGGGTTCGATAGCTTTAGCTTTCACATTTAGGTTTATAATCAATTTTGAGTTAATTTTCATGCATGGTGTGAGATAGGGGTCCAGCTTTGTCCACGTGTGGATATCCGGTTGTCCCGGGACCGTTGGTTGGAAAGGCTCTTTTTTCCTCATTGAATGGGCTTAGCTCCTTGTTGAAAGTGAGTTGACCATTGAGCTTGTCGTGTCCGTTCCACTGACCTGCGTGTCTAACCTTACTGTACCAGTGCTGTGCTGTGTTACTTCAGCTTGTAGTAAGTTTCCAAACCGACAAGACTGAGTCTCCCAACTTTGTTATCTTTTTGCAAAATTTGTTTTGGCTGTTGGGTTCCTTTTATTTAAATATGAAATTTAGGATCAGCCACCAATTTCTGCACAATGGCAGGTGGGATTTTGCTAGGTATGGCATTAAATCCGTCAATTTGTGTATTATTGCCATCTTCACAATAGCAAGTCTTTGAATCCAGGAACATGGGTTTTTTTCATTTATTTGCATCTAAGTCAGTTTTTTCAGCAATGTTTTGTAGTGGTGTATAAGTTTGTCTTTCTCTTAATTAAATTTATGCCCAATTATTTCATTTTTTGATACTATTCAAAATGGAATTGTTCTCTTAATTTCATTTTCAGAAGGTCCATTTCTAGTGATAAGAAATACAAGTGACTTTTGTCTATCAACCTCATACAATGAGACCTTTTTGAATTTATTAATTCCAGTTGTTGTTATTTGTTTTTCTGCCGATTTCTTAGGATTGTCTGATATAGGATTGTGTCATCTGCAGGTAAAATCAGGTTTACGTTCTTTTCCAATCTGGATGCCTTTTGTTTATCTTTTCATTTATCTTTTCTAATTGTCTTGGCCTGAACTTTCTAGACAATGTTGAATAGAAGTGGGTGCCCTTGTCTAGCTCCTGACCGTTGTGTTCAGTCTTCCACTGTCCAGCGTGATGTTTGCTGTGGGTTCTTCACATACGTGCGTTAGTAGATTGGGGATGTTCCCTTCTATTCCTAATTTGTTTAGTGTTTTTATCATGAAAGGCTTTTGGATTTTGTTAAATGCTTTTTCTGCATCTATGAAAACAATTTGTATATGTTTATCTTATATCCTTTTAATGTGGTTTATTGCATTGATGTATTCGACTTTGGTTTTAAATTAAGCTTAAATTCCTAGGAAGAGTACTGCTTAGTCACGGTATATAATCTTTTCTAGTGTGTTTGGAGTTTGTTTGCTAGTACGTATCTTGTTTAGGATTCTTCATAAGGCATATTGGTCTGTAGTTTTTCTTTGTTTTGATGCCTCTGTCTGGTTTTGGTATCCGGGTGGTACTGGCCTCATAGAATGAGTTGTGAAGTGTTCCTTCCGTTTTTTGGAAGAGGTTTTGAAGGACTAGTATTAATTCTTCTTTGAAAGTTTGGAAGAATTCACCAGTGAAGCTGTCTTGACCTGGTCTTTTCTTTGTGGGAAGTGTTTTCTTTACTAATTCAATCTCTTGACGTAGGTCCACTCAGATATTCTCTTTTGTCTGAGTTGGTTTAGTACTTCCTTTCATTCTAGAATGTGTCCGTTTCACGCTGGTTATCTAACCTAAGTGTTGACGTAACTGTTGGTACTATTGCCATATGATCCTTTTATCTGTAAGGTCTGAAGGGATATCCTTCTTGCATTCCTGGTTTTAGTAAATTTGAGTCTTTTCTATTTTTTTCTGCATCAGTTTAGTGAAAGGTTTGTCAATTTTATCTTTTTGAAGAAAGAAACCCTTTTCTTATTCCTAGTTTTTTCCCTGCTGATTTCTGTGATTCTGTTTCACGGTTCCTAGTTTTTCCCCCGTTGATTTTTGTGATTCTGTTTCACGGTTCCCTCTCTGCCGCTGTCGTCTTTGAACCCTTCTTCTTGCTCTGGATTTACTTTCTCTTCTGTTGTTTCTCAAGTGTCATCCCTGATTTCAGGTATTTCTTTTTAACAGCATTTATTGCTCTGAATGTCCCTCCACCCACTGCTTTAGCAGTGTTTCGCATATTTATTTTCAGACATCTTAAATATTTTCTGCTTTTCCCGTTAACTATTTAGAGATATGCTATTACATTTACAAGTATTTGTAAATTCCCCAAATTGTCTCATATTAGTGATTTATAGTTTAATTTCACTCTTCTTAGAAAGTGTGTACCATATGATTTTAATTTTTTCAAATTTGTTATACCTTGTGTTACGGCTTAGTGTAGGGACTGTCTTGGCAAAGGGC